ATGCTCGCGCGCGCAGCGGCCAGCTGGTGTGGCGCGACCGACGCGGCCGCGGTGGCGCTGACCGCTGTGCACTTCCCAGCGGGCACTTCAGTGCGAGTCGGTGAGTTGCGAGGGCGCGGTATCATGGCAACGTCGACAACGGTAGACACGATGATGAGAGTAGCGATGATGATGACGATGGTGGCGATGACGACGGCAAGGCCAATGACGGCGCCGATGTTGATCACGCCCGCCGTTGAATATGACGATGTCCTCGCGTCGGTGATGAAGGTATTGAAAGGAGTTCGACGTGCGCGCGCGGCCGACGCGCGAGAGTGGCCCGCGAGGTGTTATTTGACGCGGATCGTGCCCCCCTTCAGCACGTGCGCAAAGGCGTTCGGATCAGTTCGACATGCGGCGCGAGAGGCCCGTTTGGCCTTTGGCAGACTTTCATGGCAATGTTGAACAACCGATTTTATTATTAAAAAGTCGAGCCGACCACACCGTAATCATACACATACTTTTTGCGTCGGCTGCTAGGCAGGGGACGTCTGGGCTGGCGATGGGATGCCTAAACGGGGATGCCATTAGAGCGTATTGTGCCACTATGCAAGAGGAGGAGTGTGGAGAGGGCGCGGCCAAAAGAGGGGCGGACGGAATGAGCGGCTCAGGGGGGACGGATCGCTCCCCGAGCGACCAGCGCGGCCGAAATCATACACACACATGCGACAATCAGTGTTTTGTGCGTTTGGAGTTCCTCTTGGGGGCCGTCTTCAGGCGTCTTGGGGGGTGTATGGGGCCACTTTGGGCTCTCGCGGGGCCGACTGGCCTCAAGTCGGGCCTGTCCCTCTACAGGAGGACTGTGAAAAATTACCAAAAATAGTATGGGGACGATTTTTGAAAAAAATCTGATATGTTTGGATCTACTGGGGGTATTTCTCATCGTCCAAAATGCGCTTGTAGGAGGGACGCGCACGACCTAAATCCAGGGCGCCTGGCGATGCTGAAATTTGTTCGGGTGTCGTGGTGGTGGTGATGGTGGTGGGATCTGTGTGGGGATCCCCGCCTCGTGAAAGAAAACGTGCGAATCGGAAGGTGTATAGAGTTCCCAACCATCCGGTGTTGGATCTTCGTTTTGAAGAGACACCGCCCGCGTCACTCGCTCCTTCCTCCTCCCCCTCCTCCCTCCTCCCATCCTTGCCTCTGCCCTGCCTATGTCCATGTCGATCGACACGCCTCTCACACGTCTCGTGGCCTCACAGGGAGTCCCACTGAAGGCTTCCACGGCAGGACCCGCACCCGATTCTTCACAGCCCTCGCACGTTTCGTGGCCCCCATGGGGAACTCCACCGAAGGCCCCAGTGGCAGGGTCCGCGCGGCGCACCCGCACCCCAGTCGGCTCACCCCATCACACGTTTCGTGGCTCCGTGGGGAGCTCTACCGAAGGCCCCAGCGGCACAGGCCGCATGGCGTACCCGCACCCGATTCGGCACACCTCCCCACACCTTTCGCGGCCCGATAGGGAACCCTACCGAAGGCCCCAGCGGCAGGGTCCGCATGGCATACCCGCACCCGTTTCGGTACATCGCTCACACGCTTCGTGGCCCCATAGGGAGCTTCAACTGAAAGCCCCGCGCGGCACAGTCCGCATGGCGTACCCCGCCCCCGATTCGGCACACCCCTCACATTTGCCCCGCAGGGGGCTCTACCGAACGCCCCCGTGGCAGGTCACGAATGGGGTGGCCGCGCCTGATTTGGCATCCTCCACACACGTTTCGTGGCTCCATCAGCAGCTCCACCGAACGCCCCACCGGCAACGTCCACACGGCGTGCCCGCCCCCGATTCGGCACACCCTTCACACGTTTCGTGGCCCCACAGGGAGCTCCACCGAAGAACCCCCGCGCGGCAGGGTCTGCATGGCGTACCCGCACCCGATTCGGCACACCCTTCTACGACCCGCGCGCGTCGCTGAGATTCCTTCGGGGCGACCAGCGCGCGTCGCGGGGACCCCGCGCTGCACTCTGCCCAGAGCCGCGGCCACCAGGGCGCAAGAACGAAGAGGAGAGACGGACGAGGGAAGGAAATCGGCACGAAACGGCCGCGCCCAGGGCTCGGGGCACCGCGGGCCAAGCGGGCAGGAACGCAACGCACAACGAAAACTAGGGGAGGGGAGAAAGAGTTTCAAAGGATATGGGCACAAAGCAGCGGCGCACGGGGCTCGCGCCAAACCAAGAAGACTCCCCGCTCGCCCATGCCCGCGTTGCTTCCCATCCACGCCCCAATCCTCTTGCCAGACCCTCTCCTCCCTCTCAATTGCCTCGCGCTGCTCGCAGCTGCATGTGGTTGTGCCCTTCGCCAGAATCATTTTTATCTCACCGTCGCGAAGCTAGTCCAGTGTTGCGAGTGGGCCCGTCCTGTGGGTCTCTAGGGGCCACTGTGGAACTGTCTGGGGGGTTTGCTGGGTCGTCTTGGGGCCCTGTCGGGCCGTTCTGGGTCGTCTTGGGGGTCTTTGGGGGCGGTCTGGAGGTCCTATTGTGCCGTCTTGGGGCTTTCTCTAGATGTTTGGAGCCGTTCCGGGGGCCCTCTTGGGGCGTCTGGGAGTCCTCTTGGGCTACCTTGGGCCCCTCTTCAATCGCATTGGGCCCCTCATGAGCCCCTCGTGGGTCATATTTGGGGTGGGCTTGGGGACTTCTTTTGGGCCGTCTCAGGCTCTGAAGGCGGAGAAGGCGAATGCCCAAAACTCGCGCAGCAGGTTATGGAACATCTATGGCTCCCGTTTAGTCGGGCCCCCTAGGGCCCCCCCAGGGCCGTCGAGGGAGCCTGTTGCCCTGTCCTGCGGCTATCGTGAGCAGTCTTCGGCCCGTTCTGGTCCTCTCGGGGGTCATTGCGGGACCTCTTCGGGAGGTTCTTGGGCCCGTTGGGGGCATTTTGGGCCGTCCTTGGGCAACCGCGAGTTAGCCTCCCCGATCTGGCCTCGAGCCCACGCGGATCAGTTCTCTATGCATACGGGAACTGTTGGTGCGAGCGCAGCTATATGCTTACCTAGGTCAGGCGGGATATTTGCGTTGTAGGAAGGCTTCCCCCCCTTCTCGGTTCGTGCCCGCTACCCTCAGGAACGGCTCAGGCAGACACAGGATGGGGTGCTTCGAGTCCTCGATCGCCTTATCGCCCCGCGCAAGATCAGTGTCACGTTCTCTGAGGGTGCCGCTGAAGATGATTAAGGATCTCCTCGCGGTTGACAAGAGCGGACGTCATCCCTGTGAGGGTCGCCTCCCGACGACGGGTTAGACTTGGACCAGAGGTCGCGCGCCTGGACACCGAGCTCGGCTGGAACCCCTGCCAGGAAAGAGCTGGTCGCTACGAGAGCTCGTTCCCGCGCAGGGCGCACAGCGCCTCGCACAACGGCCTGCTTGTGACCGCCCGCGGCCCGATGCGGGAGCAGTGTACGGCAGGTGCGCGCGGCGTCCACGCAGAAATGGCTTCTCCTCTCTCCCATCTGGTTCCTGCTCCTGATCATGCTCCATGGTCCGTACTTCTCTCCTCCCCTCTCTGGCTCACGCTCCCCCTCGTCCTCCCCTCCTCCCCCTCTACGTATTTGGTTCTCAATGCGTGGTTGTGCCGTGTCCTCTTCCCCATCTGCTCCCGCTACTTTTGCACGCTGCCATTCGGCCCTACATTGCTTCCTTGACATTGCCTTTCAGTCGGGAGGAGGATCAGGAGGAGTCGAAGGAGGAACAGAAGGAGGAGTCGAAGGAAAAGGAGGATGAGAAGGAGGGGGAGGCGGAGGAGGAGATGGAGGAGGATGAGGAGGAGGAGGAGGAGGAGGAGGAGGAGGAGGAGGAGGAGGAGGAGGAGGATTCTTGCCTCGTTCGCCCGTCCTCCTCGTTCGTTCCTCCTCCTTTCTTGCCCCTCTCTCCTCCCGTCCTACCCCTCTCCCTCCTCCCTCCCCACACCTCCCTCCTCCCTCCTCCCGTTTCCTCCCTCCTCCCTCCTTCTCCTCCCTCTTTCCCTCTCGCTCCCCGCCCCCTCGGGCCAGGCAGCTGGGCCACTGGATGGGAGCGACGGCCCTCCCAGGACGCTGCGTCGTTGGCGGCGAGCTGCCTGATGAAAGGCTGCGGCGACCTGACGTGCGAAGCACAGGAGCCTTTCCTGGGGCAGCGCGCGGAGAGGTCCTCGACAACCGACGTCGTCTCTTTCTTTCGTCTTATTGGCCCCCGCGGCCAGTCTTTGGGGCGCTCTTTGGTGGCCGCGGGGCCCGAAAACGCCCCCTTCCCCCCCCCCCTGAAGGCTGAGGGTAAGGGAAGAGGCGCCCGTCGTGATTTTGTGTTCCGCGACGTCCGGAGTTCTGGGCCTGTCAGTGCAGTGGGCGGGGCAGAGGCGTGCGTCAATCCAGAGAGGGCCCCCGTCTTCGAGGGATCGCCCTCGGGCGGAAGCCAGGGGAGGGTCAAGGGTGGATGGGGGCCGGAGGAGGGCCAAGGGCCAAGGATGGGGCAGGGAGTTGGGAGGGATGTGTGGGGAGGTTGAGGAGGGGGACTCTCTGTGTGGGGTGGTGGTTGGGAGGATGAGGACGATGAGATGGAGGAGGAGGAAGAGGAGGAGGAGGAGGCGGAGGCGGAGGAGGAGGAGGAGGAGGAGGAGGAGGAGGAGGAGGAGGAGGAGGAGGTGTGCAGGAGGAGGAGGAGGTGAGGAGGCAAGTAGGAAACGCTTCTCTTGCTCTCTCTCTCTCTCTTTCTATGTCCCTGTGTCGCTCTGCCACACTGCACGCTTGTCTACTGCGGTCTCATCCTCATCGGGAGTTCCAGTCCATCTGGGAGGGGGGGGGGGACCGGGAGGGAGGGAAGGAGGGTCGGGCGGGGTCGGGTGCCACTGCGTGCCCACTCGCAGCTGCTGGCCCACGTCGCGTCCTGCCTGGTTTCCAGGCCCAGCGAGCACTCCCGTCGCGCTTTGGGATCAAGGAGCTGCGCGGTGCGCGCAGTGCGGGTGCCTCCTCTTTAGGGCTCGCCTCCGGACCGCAGCGGCCATGGTGGCGGCGCCTGCCCGCGCGGGCCTCGGGAGCGTCTCTGTCGCGAGGGCTGGCTGTGAGGAGGAGGAGGAGGAGGGAGGAGGAAGAAGACGACGACGAATATTAGATCATGGTCAGAACCGTAAGGAGCATTCGTACACGAACAATGAAACGAGGGCGAATGCGAATGCGAATGCGAGCACTCGTACTACGAAGACACCAGTAGTATTGACACTCATAGTAGTAGTGCTAGTCAGCACCATCATAATGATGGTAACGATAATGCGAATACGTTTAGTAATTGTAGTACTACTTTTAACAGTAACACTGCACTAATGATACCCATACTAATATTAGCAATGCTGAAACTAATAATATTATCCATATTATCACTGAGAATATTAGTTATGTTAGTAATAATAAAACTGAACATATTCATACACATGCCACTATTAGAACAGAACCCAGAAGAGTACCACTAATATTACCACTGGTGATATGGTTAATTTTAACAATGAGACGACACCGAATACTGCGAACACGACTGCTACCTGTACGACGATGAAAGCGAATACGCATACTACTGCTAACACTGGCAATGCTAATACAAAGGGTGATACGAATAGAATCATACTACGGAGGAGAGGGGGAGAAATGAACATGAGGAGTAGGAGACGGAGTGTGATGATGACGAGGGGGAAGAGGAGCAGGAGGAGAAGGAGGAGGAGGAGCAGGCGCAGGAGGAGGAGGAGGAGGTCGGGTTCGGCTGTCCTCGAGCGCGCTGGTTAAGCCAGCATGAGCCCTGCGCGTGCCATATGCCATGGACACGCGAGCTGAAGCAGAAAAGGAGGAGAGGAGGGGAGAGAGAGAGGATGGGAAGCGCAAGGCAGCGAGGGATCGAGGGAGCGAGGGCGGGGGAGGGAGAGACAGAGAGAGAGAGAGAGAGGCAGAGAGAGCAAGAGACAGATGATGATGCGGCAGATGATGATGATGATGATGATGATGATGATGATGATGATGATGATGATGATGATGATGATGATGCTGATGCTGATGCTGATGCTGATGTTGATGTTGATGGTGATGACGACGATGTTGACGATGACGATGATGCTGACAATGACGATGATTATGCTGATGCTGATGCTGGTGATGAGGATGCTGATGATACTGATGATGACGATGCTGACTATCATTAGTATGATGCTAATACTGATGCTGATGCTGATGATGCTGATGCTGATGCTGCTAGTGATGATGATGCTGATGAGGATGCTGCTGATGCTGATGTTGCTATTGCTGGTGATGATGCTGCTGATGCTGATTACGCTGCTGCTGCTGGTACTGATACTGATGATGTAGTTGATGATGATGGTGGTGCTTATGATGATGCGGATGATGCTTATGATGCTGGTGATGATGATACATATGATTCTGCTGATTCTGCTGATGATGCTGCTGATGATGATGCTGATGCTGATGGGGCTGAAGCTGATGGGGCTGAAGCTGATGCTGATGAGGCTGCTGCTGATTCTGCTGCTGATGATGGTGGTGGTGGTGGCGATGCTGATGGTGCTGATGCTGCTGCTGCTGATGATGATGCTGATGCTGATGGTGGTGATGATGGTACTGCTGCTGCTGATGCTGGTGATGGTGGTGACGATGATGGTGATGCTGATGTTGCTTCTGCTGATGGCGATGATGCAATTGATGGTGGTCATGGTGATGGTGCTTGTGGTTGCGATGGTGATGGCGATGACGACGGTGATTGTGATTGTGATGTTGATGCTGATGTTCACCATGCTGCTGATGATGCTGCTTAGGCTGGTGACGCTGTTGATGATGCTGACGGTGGTGATGCTGAAGGTGATGCTGCGGATGAAGATGGTGATGATGCTGCTGCTGATGATGCTGATGATTATGAGGATGATGATGCTGCTGCTGCTGATGATGCCGATGCTGATGACGACGATGATGATGATGCTGATGATGATGATGATGCTGATGATGAAGATGACGATGATGCTGGTTGTGGTGGTGGTGACCATGATGGTGGTGGTGGTGGTGGTGGTTGTGATGATATGGTGATTGTGGTGGTGGTGGTGATGACGATGCTGATGTTGATGATGGTGGTGAGGATGGTGATGGTGATGATGAGAATCATGCTGCCGATGTCGATGACGATGACGATGACGATGATAATGATGATGATGCTGATGATGATGACGATGATGATGCTGATGATGATGATGCTGATGATGATGCCGAGGAGGAGGAGGAGGAGGGCGAGGAGGATGATGATGAGGAGGAGGAGGAGTATGAGGAGCTAGCGCAGGAGGGCAATGGTGCAGAGGATAGCGAGACAAATGGGCAGCAGGAGGACGACACTCGGCAGTATGATGAATTTGCTGATGCAGAGAAGCATGGGGACAATACTGATGATGAAGATGCTGGTGGTGGCGATGATCATGATGATGAAGATGCTGATGATGATGATGCTGCTGATGCTGATGATGATGAGGATGAGTATGAGGATGACCATAATGATGACTTGTGAAGGAACGTCCGACTGATGATGATGATGATGATGATGATGATGATGATGACGGTGAGGATAACGATGATAGTGGTGACGATGACGTTGAGGATGAGAGGAGGCGGATGACAATGAGCTGGAAACAGAGGGATGATGAGAGGGTGTTCGCGATCATAGGGGGCTCTAGGAGGTTCTATGGCGGAGTGGTCGAATGAGGATGCTGATGATGAGGAGGAGGAAGACGTTGATGCTGCTTCTGCTGATGATGATGAGGATGAGGAGGAGGACGAGAAGGGTGATGATGATTATGCTGATGATGATGGTGCTGCTGCTGATGATGCTGCTGATGATGATGCTGATGCTGATGCTGATGATGATGCTGATGATGATGCGGAGGAGGAGGAGGAGGAGGAGGAGGAGGAGGAGGAGGAGGAGGAGGTGGAGGAACATGAACCGGGGGACGAGGCAGAAGACGAGGCGGGATGAGGATTTTCTGGATTTCAGGAGTGTTGGGAGGCATTCGGGGGGTTTCTAGGCGGTTCCAGGGGGAGTGGTGGGAGGGGAAGGTGATGACGATGATGATGCTGCTGCTCATGGTGACGATGTTGATGATGATGATGATGATAATGCTGCTGACGATGCTGATGCTGTTGATGATGATGATGATGATGATGATGATGCTGATGATGATGATGATGATGATGATGATGATGATGATGATGATGATGCTGATGCTGATGATGATGATGATGATGATGATGATGATGATGATGATGACGATGACGATGATGATGATGATGATGATGATGATGATGATGATGATGATGGTGCTGATGATGATGATGCTGTTGCTGTTAATAATGATGATTCTGATTATGATGATGGAGGAGGAGGGTGAGGGTGATGGTGGTGATGATTATGATGATGATTTTGGTGGTGATGATGATTATGATGCTGATGGTGATGGTGTTGGTGATGGTGATTCTGATGATGCTGCTGATGACGATGATGATGAACTTGATGATGATGTTGTTGTTGATGATGATAATGCTGCTGACGATGCTGATGCTGTTGCTGATGATGCTGATGATGCCGATTATGATGACTATTCTGCGGCTGATGATGATGCTGATGTTGATGATGATGCTGATGCTGATGCTGATGCCGATGCTGATGATGATGCTGATGCTGATGCTGATGCTGATGCTGCTGCTGATGATGCTGATGATGCTGATGATGCTGATGATGCTGCTGTTGATGATGCTGCTGATGATGATGCTGACGATGATGCTGATGCAGATGCAGATGCTGATGATGATGATGATGATGATGATGATGATGATGATGATGATGATGATGATGATGTTGATGTTGATGATTATGATGATGCGGGGGAGGATGGGGAGGGATAAGAGAAGGAGGACCAGCTATGGGAGTATGAGGAGGGAGAGAAGGAAACGCCAGCGCCAGGGCTGGTCTGCGACCAGGAGAGACCAGCGCCTCTTACAGCCTGGCTGGCGTCCACGTCCGCATTCTCCCTCCTCTCTCCCTCCCTCCCTCCCTCCCCTCCCCTCCTCCCTCCCTCCCTCCCGCTCTCCCCTCTTCCTCCTTTTTCTCCTCCTCCTCCTCCTCCTCGTTCTCGTCTCGGCGGCGCGGAGAGGAGGGTCGGAGAAGCCCCGCCTCTCAGACGTGCCCCCCCGCCTGCTTCGCAGCATGCACTTTTGGTAGGTGGATCTCGCAAGCTCTCCGCCGCCTCTGGCGGTGTGCGTTGCGAGCAGGAACGCAGCAAAGCCACAGGAAAGCGCGGCATTAGCAGGAACACAGCAAAGCCACAGGAACATAGCAAAGGCACAGGAAAGCGTGGCTTTGCTGTGTTCCTGCTCGCAATGCACACCGCCAGAGGCGGCGGAGAGCTTGAGAGATCCACCTACCAAAAGTACGCTTCGGAGAAGAGGAAGGTGCTGGTCCCATGGCGCCAACATCGCAGATCGGAGCCCGTTCGGAAAACGACAGGGTGGGCCTGGAGTATCCTGGAGAATTCCTATCCGGATTTGGAGGTGAATTTCGTGCGTTTTTTTTGGCCGGGAATGAAGACTAACAACAAATCCACGCGAAATCCATTTTGTTTTTCACTCGCCGTTTCGGGGTTCTGCATTGGCAGAAGTCCACGCAAAAATCCGCTGCAGCACGTCTGCAAGGTCGGTGCAGTGACTGGTCCCTTGTGCAAGACGCCCCCTGCCTTCGTAAGAGGCCGTTCTCCTCTCCCCGCCACCTTGTGGCGCGCCGCCAGCTTCTCCTCTTCCTTGCCGCGTGTGCTTCTCGTCCTGCTCCAGATCCTCCTTGTCCGTCCTTGCCCCCCACGCAGCAGCCACATCGTCAAACCACCAGGCATGCCGGTAGGGCGGGTCTGGCTTTTCGCGTGGGAGCTCCTGCAGTGTAAGCTCATGGTTCTTTCAACTTCTTAGAGCTAGGTTGCATGCATGGAGGGCTGCGCGTTCTCT